CCTTCTTTCCCTTGTAATCATCCTCTCTTCCACGAGGTAGTAAAAGGCGAGTGTAAGTCGCATTTATGAACAGGGTCCATTTAATGTATATTCTGCATTTCAAGGTATAGTAATGATCATAGATTAAATAGGTAAAATTTAGGGTCGTTATAATGACATATGAATACCATATCATAAGCATATCGATCAATAAACAATTCACACATCAATATATATGACACGTGTAGAATCACAGGTCACGTGTCAACATCAAATATAACTATGCCGATAGTAAGGCCACTTACCTGATTAGCTTAGGCTGGTGTCACCAATTTATCATTGAGAAAGTTCAATTTTGTCCTTTATATTCAAGTCAACCTATATGAACCATGACATCAATTTAAATTTCAATTCTCTAAATTTTAGAATGGTCCATGTGTTAGACTTCATGTGAGCATTAGAGACTCCATGAGCAGAGTCTTGGAGGGTTATATATATATATATATATATATATATATATATATATTTCCATTTTCATTAAATATGTTATTTTTTATTATTACTGTTTTACGGAAAATATTATTACTAGAAAGAATTTGATGGAGTTTCTTGACATGATATTTCTTTCGTTTTATCTTTTAATGTTCACCAAATCCTTAATTTTTTTCTCTATTAAATTTCTTATTTTTCATCTACTTCCCTTTTTATTAATTTTAATTATGTTCACCATTTACTCTATTAAATTTCCTCTATGTATTTTTAAAATTAACCATACTTATTTTAATTCTTTAAATTTCCCCTTTTTCTTTTAATCAATTTTTGCTCCCACATCTTACCTCAAATTTTCTTACAGTATTTCTTTCTTTTTTTTTCTTTTCTATTCTATTCTTTTCCACGGTTTCGCTTTACAACATCTCCATTTTCTTTCTTTTCATAATGTATTTTTCTTTTATTTTTCTTTTCTATTTTGTTAATAGTATTTTGAAAATGGGCATGGGAAAATCACTGTCCAAAATACCTTGTAAACAAGAAAGTCGAAAAGGCACAAGGTAAATATGATTTACTAGTGGTAGAAATATGTTTAGTAGAGTATGATAACTTAACCTGGATACTGGATTCAGGGGCCACTAATCATATTTGTTCTTTTTGTCAAGAAACTAGTTCCTGGAGAATGTTTGCGGAAGGCGAGATAACACTCAAGGTTGGAACAGGAAAAGTTGTCTCAGCAAGATCAGTAGAAAATTTAAAGTTGTTTTTCGGAGATAGATTCATTATATTAAATAATGTACTTTTTGTTCTTGGAATGAAAAGAAATCTAATATCTATCTCTTGTTTATTAGAACAATTGTATAAAGTATCTTTTGAAATCAATGAAGTGTTCATTTTCAAAAAAGGTATTCATATTTGTTCTGCAAAACTAGAAAACAACTTATATTATTCATTAAAAAATATTGGTTGGTTGAAAAATTATGAAACTTGATTTCTAGACTCATTAGAATGTCCCATTAATGAATCAATCAAGTTCATGGAAAAAAATTTAATCTAAAACTTTAGATATTTAACCGTATGACTGTTCGAAAAAATCGTATCTAGGTCTGATAGACTAAAAATGTCTCAAAAATGTATTATATAGGGGGGTGACTAGTCTACATGGGCTGGGCAGGCTGGGCACGAGGGTACCCTTCTATCTTGCGCCAGACCCGTGCCACAAGCATTATGATCCACACATTGGCATATGCTTGGGGCGTGGGGGAGGTGGTTAGAGGTCGAGGGCGGTTGACGATGGCGACGCGATGGCAGAACGCTCACGGTCGGGTGGTGTCAGGTGCCTTTGGGCGTGCGACATGAGCCTCGTTGAGCATGAAATGTTGCGATGTTATGTTCTAACTTGGGCTGGCATGAGGATGGTTGATGGCTGGAACGATGATGAAACATGCAAGGTGTGGTGGAGTCAACTGCCTTCGAACATGTGGCATGAACCTCATTGAGTGTGTGACGTTGTGGTGATGCAAGCCAACCTTGGGCCAACCCTGTGTTTTGAAGGTAGCGTGGTGCCAGAAATGTATGGCTGATTGGAATCAAGTGTCTTTGGGTGTGCGACATGAGCCTCATTGAGCATGGAATGTTGCAATGTTTCCTTCTAACTGGGAATCTCTAGTGTGAGGATTTTAGATGGTTGGTATGACGATGAAACATGCAAGGTGGGTTGAGCCGGGTGCCTTTAGGCGTGCGACATGAACCTTGTTGAATGTGGGACGTTGTGGTGGTATTCCTCCCTTCCTTGGGCCAGCCCTTTATTTTGAAGGTTGTGCGGTGGCAGAACATGCACGGTGGGGCGGTGTCAAGTGCCTTTGGGTGTGCGACATGAGCCTCATTGAGCACCGATTGTTGCGATGTTGCCTTCTAACTTGGGGTGACTTTTGGATGGTTGATGGCTTGACCGCACACGACGTTTTGGGCTTGGCTTTGCACAATGATTTTGCACCCCTGCTTGCGGTGAGTGTGAATAGTCGATCATCGTCCAAGCTCGTTTTAGCGTACGTCGCATGAGTGGTGATTTGGTTGCTTGGGTCTATAGGCTTAATGCTTGGGCATCAAATTGTAGGCGTCATGTCCTCCTCATTGGTGTGTCCCAAAGTATTTTGAGTGACCGTAGTCCATTGGTTCTTACATAGATTACCTCATGCATTGGTAGCATTGAGTCTTGTTAGTCCGTTTCTATCAGCACCCCTTGTTGGGTGCATGATGAGCTTAGAAGCCTGCTTTGCATATTGCTTCAACCTTTGCATGGCTTGTCGCGAAATGCTTCTCGGTTGCTTGCACTCTTGGATGTCATATATTTGGTGGCATGATGTGCTTGGAAAACCCCTCGAACATGTTGCCTATGTATTGCTAAATGAAGCATGAATGAATGACGCTTGCTCCCACATTTCACCCATTGTTGCCTCTCTCACACTCTGTTGGGAGGTGGTGACTGTAAAATGTGGTGGCAAGTGGTCGGCAACATTGTGTCGGAATGCTATTTGGTTGATCCTGCCAGTAGTCATATGCTTGTCTCAAAGATTAAGCCATGCATGTGTATTATGAACTAATTCAGACTGTGAAACTGCAAAAGTCTCATTAAATCAGTTGTAGTTTGTTTGATGGTATTTGCTACTCTGATAACCGTAGTAATTCTAGAGCTAATACATGCAACAAACCTCAACTTCTGGAAGGGATGGTTTATTAGATAAAAGGTCGACGCAGGCTCTGCCCATTGCTCTGATGATTCATGATAACTTGACGGATCACACGACCATCGTGCCGGCGACGCATCATTCAAACTTCTACCCTATCAACTTTCGATGGTAGGATAGTGGCCTACTATGGTGGTGACGGCTGACGGAGAATTAGGGTACGATTCCGGAGAGGGAGCTTGAGAAACAGCTACCACATCCAAGGAAGGCAACATGCACGTAAATTACCTAATCCTGACACGGGGAGGTAGTGACAATAAATAACAATACCAGGCTCTTCGAGTTTGGTAATTGGAATGAGTACAATCTAAATCCCTTAACGAGGATCAATTAGAGGGCAAGTCTTGTGTCAGCAGCCGCGGTCATTCCAGCTCCAATAGCGTATATTTAAGTTGTTGCAGTTAAAAAGCTCATAGTTGGACCTTGGGTTGGGTGAATCGGTCTGCCTATGGTGTGAGCACCGTTTGGTTCTTCCCTTCTGTCTGTGATGCACTCCTGGCCTTAATTGGTTGGGTCGTTCCTCTGGCGCTGTTACTTTGAAGAAATTAGAGTGCTCAAAGCAAGCCTAAGCTCTGTATACATTAGCATGGTATAACATCATATGATTTCGATCCTATTCTGTTGACCTTCAGGATCAGATTAATGATTAACAGGGACAGTCAGGAGTATTCGTATTTCATAGTCAGAGGTGAAATTCTTGGATTTATGAAAGATGAACAACTGCAAAAACATTTGCCAAGGATGTTTTCATTAACCAAGAACGAAAGTTGGGGGCTCGAAGACGATCAGATACTGTCCTAGTCTCAACCATAAACGATGCCGACCAGGGATTGACGGATGTTGCTTTAAGGACTCCACCAGCAGCTTATGAGATATCAAAGTCTTCGGGTTCCAGGGGGAGTATGGTTGAAAGGCTGAAACTTAAAGAAATTGACGGAAGGTCACCACCAGGAAGGGAGCCTACGGCTTAATTTTACTCAACACGGAGAAACTTACCAGGTCCAGACATAGTAAGGATTGACAAACTAAGAGCTCTTTCTTGATTTTATGGGTGGTGGTGCGTGGTCGTTCTTAGTTGGTGGTGCAATTTGTCTGGTTAATTTCGTTAACGACCGAGACCTCAACCTACTAACTAGCTATGTGGAGGAATCCCTCTGTGACTAGCTTCTTAGAAGGACTATGGCCGCTTAGGCCAAGGAAGTTTGAGGCAATAATAGGTCTGTGATGGTCCTAGATGTTCTGGGCCGCACGCGCGCTACACTGATGTATTTAACGAGTCTATAGCCTTGGCCGATAGGCCCGAGTAATCTTTGAAATTTCATTGTGATCGGGATAGATCATTGCAATTGTTGGTCCTTAATGCATAATTCTTAGTAAGCGCAAGTCATTAGCTCACATTGACTATGTCCCAGCCCTTTGTACACATGGATCGTCGCTCCTACTGATTGAATGGTCCGATGAAGTGTACGGATCGTGGAGACGTGAGCGGTTTGCTGCCTGCGACATCGCGAGAAGTCCATTGAACCTTATCATTGAGAGGAAGGAGAAGTCATAACAAGGTTTCCATACGTGAACCTGCTGAAGGATCATTGTCGATGCCTAAACATCAAACGACCCATGAACGTGTTTACAAATTTTTTGTGTCAGAGGGAGCTTTCGTGCCCCCTCTGATGTCTAAACTAAACCCGCTGCAAGTCATGCCAAGGAGCTCAAACGAATAAGCTTGCCCCCTGCCCTGGTCTTAGTGTGTGAGGGACAAAGCATTCTTGTTGTACTATTCACAATGACTCTCGGCAATGGATATCTCGTCTCTCGCATCGATAAAGAATTTAGCAAAATGTGATACTTTGTGTGAATTGCAGGATCCCACGAACCACTAAGTCTTTGAACGCAAGTTGCACCTAGAGCCTTTTGGCCGAGGGCACGTCTGCCTGGGCGTCACGCATCGCTGACTCCACATGCAACACCCACTTAGGTTTGTTGCACTAGCGGGGGCACATGTTGGCCTCCCGTGCGCACCATCGAACAGATGGCTTAAAATTGAGTCCTCGACATCTATTGTCGTGACACTACGGTGGTTGATTCAACCTCGGTACCGTGTCTCAACCTCAGCTTGCATGCCTCCACTTTGTGAGAGAGGGAGGAATTTTATGTTGACCCTTTGAACATTCTCCCCAAGGACGATGCTCTCGAAGCGACCCCATGTCAGGCAGGACTACCTGTTGAATTTAAGCATATCAATAAGCAAAGGAAAAGAAACTTACAAGGATTCCTTAGTAATGGCGAGCGAATCGAGAAGAGTCCAACTTGAGAATCGGGGCATCAAAAAGGGTTAGCCGTATAGGGCAGCCTTGTTTTTACCTGGAAAAATAAGAGTAGCACATGACTTGAGTATTTTGATAAATACTTAGTAAGTGACCCCACTATTGGGGTTAGGTGCAAGCACATATAATCATAAGTGGGACATATCATATTAGTCTATATTTCTTAGTCAGCTATCCTAAGCGAGTTAATTTGATGTGTATTTACTATTCTACACATTGTCTACACGTACGAGTATGGACCCACTAGTTGGCTCGCACACCTCTTGGGCCCCTTTCTTGTCAGGTGAGCATTATCTGGGAGCTATTGATGTTGGACACCCATTAGGAATAGCAACCTTCGTATCATTATAACAAATATAATGATCGTTTTCTTGCTTTGTAGTGTACGCGTTCGTACCATCATAAAAGATGAAGGGGTATCCTCCGATGCATGAACACACAATGATACATGAGGTCCCAACATTTTCTCTTTCATTATGCTCTATAACAACCCCTCTAGCATTTTTCTTTATATCATAAAATTCTACTTTAACTTTTTATGTGTATATCGGGTTTGTCCATTATGTCAATTCATCACATTGCTTGTCAATCATATCATAACATATAACTCATCATGTCAAACATATACCATATCATAAACTTCTCATGTGTTCTAACGTATCATATATCATTGTATAGAATCATCCCATCACAGAATAACATCATCATACATCGTACATCATTATCATACAATATAGTCACAACATCATAAATATAGAGAATAAATGACACGTGCAAGGGCGACTAGGCACGTGTCGTCCTACATTAAACAAGTCGTTCAACCTATCCTATAGTAAGACCATCGTTTGCCTTAGATGGCGTTCTCCCTAAATTCGAGTATGTTTGCTTTTCATCTCTCAAAATTTCTCATAGTATTATTAGTTTTTGTTTCCTATTAGAATGTCCCTCTCGTTTCATTAGAAACTATAATTTCTTAACTCAGTTTAACATAAATCGAGAAAGTGAACCTTATACTGAATTTATTTTCCATAAACAAGGTCAATTTCAGCTTTAGGATAGTCGGAACGGTAAGACTTGCGCAAAATACTCTATAGCAAGCTAAAGATCTGGATTCTAAGCTGTGAAGCCGAGTCTAGCCGTCTGAGCTGCATAAGTCGAAGAAGTTTCTGGCTGCAGGCGCAATGAGGCGTGAACGCGTATTTTCCGGCGATCGATTTTTTTTTTTTTTTTTTTTGGCCTTTTACATAATGGTGTATAACTTTCAAATGTATATCATTTTTGTGCTTGAAAATTTTCTATAAAATCTGGACTTTGATATTAAGGTTGACGTCAATATTTATTCTTCATCATTCATTGCCAGTTTATAGGTCAATGGATCCTCACGCCATCATCATGTATGATGACTTGTGTTTATGTCAAACCTAAGTAACGATTGGGTTGAGTTATAACCCTCCCACTACGTTGAGGCATTCTCAACTCTTGAGAAGGATGTGATTGACCAGAAGTGCGAGCTCCATCAACAACTCTTGTTGAAGGATCAGCCTGATCAACAACTCTTGTTGTTTTATCAGTAGTTTCTTTAGAAATCTCACTCAATACTAGTTTGTTGCGAGGTTGATGATTTCTTACGTGGTCTTCCTCTAAGAATGTAGCGTTTGTTGATACAAACACTCTATTTTCTTGAGGGTCATAAAATAGACCACTTTTCGTCTCTTTGGGATATCTTATGAATAGGCATAATTTTGAACAACGTTCTAATTTCTTAGGGTTTTGCACCAACACATGTGCTGGACATCCCCAAATCCTGAAGTGACGTAAACTACCTTTACTGCATAACTCATAAGGTGTTTCTGAAACACTCTTAGAAGGAAGCATGTTCAAAATGTATGCAGCAGTCTCCACTGCGTATCCCTAAAACGAATCAGGTAATTGAGTGAAACGCATCATAGACCGAACCATGTCTAACACAGTTCTATTTCTCCTTTATGATACACCGTTCTGTTGAGGCATACCAGGGGCTGAGAGTTGAGACGTTATTCCATATTCTATCATATAGTTCTAGAATCTTAAGTTCATATACTCTCCACCTCGATCTGATCGGAGTATTTTAATAGTTTTTCCTAATAGATTCTCAACCTCAGTCTTATACTCTCTAAACTTTTCAAGAGCTTCCGACTTGTGATGCATTAGGTAAAGATAGTCATACCTTAAATAATCATCAATAAAACTGAAGAAATATTCATACCCTCCTCGTGCTTTGACATTCATTGGACCACAGAGATCTGTATGTACAAGTTCTAAGGTTTCTTTGACTCTATAACCTTTTTTCGGAAAAAGGTCGTTTAGTCATTTTACCCCCAAGACAAGACTCACATGGAGGTAAAGAGTTGTGTTCTAACTCATTTAGAAGTTCTCTTTTGACCAATCTCCCAATCCTATTGAGATTAATGTGGTCAATCTTAAGTGCCAAAAATAGGTATGAGGAGAAATCTTTTGTCGTTTATTTTGAGTTTCAGTTGTTTTAAATATCTCGATATTTAAAATAGCTTTTGTTTCGCTCGGTTTTAAGGTAGGAAAAGATATTAAAATAATATAAAATTAAATTCAATAAAAACTCGAAGGACAAATTGTAAAGTATAAATATGCTTCCAATTAATTTTAAAGAACAAATTTAAGGGTACTTTTCGTAACAACATGATAGGACATAAGCATAATAAAATCTATTAATATGAGTGTCAATCACAAGCAATCAACAAAATCATGAAAAAAAAAAATAATAACAAAAAGTAAAAGCAACTATATTTAGAGGCATTGCTATGATTGTAAATGGTTAAGGGAAGAGGTAAAAGGGGGACATTATAATTAAAAGGAGTGGGACAAGGCATAATGTAGAGAAACTAATAATCATCAAAACTAAATTAAAAAGGAAATTTTAAATAAATAAATATTTAGCATTTCTCCGATCAAATATTATATTAATATTTTATTAACGTTCATGTAACTTAATTAATTGTAACTTAATTAATTGTGAACTCTATTCAAGATGATAGAAAAAAAAAAAAGTTAAAATTCTATATTCCAGAGGACAGTTTTCCAATAAATCTGGATTTTAATTTCCTTTAATTTTTTTTTTTTTTTTTTTGTCTGTTTTCTCTTTATTCGTTTTACTTTAATTTTCAAGCCTTTTTCGTTTCTTTTCTTTAATTTGATGTTATTTGATTTGATGTATCTAAAAGGTAGTCATTCGAAATCTTTTCACAGTATGATATAGTTTGTGGGAATAAATAAATATTTGAGAAAGTTGGAGTTACAATTTTACCCTTGCTGCACAACTTTTATTTATATATTTATCGTTAAGACCCGTGACAAAAAAAACAAAGCGCAAAAAAATAATTTTTTTATATTAAAAAATCTTGTCATTTTCGAAACTTGTTATTTTACTTGATGATGTATTTTTACTACTCCATTTATATTTTATATTATATTTCTTAAATTATAAGTTTATTTTTTAAACTTTAAACTTAGGGTTTATTGACCAAATGGAGTATAAAAAGTGTTTAATAAATTTCAATAAAAATCTCTAAACATTAAAAAATTACTTATTATAATCTCAAAATTTTCCACACCAAAAAAATTTATTTTTAATTTTATATCTAATAAGTATCGTTTAATTTTCACGTATCAATGAGTTATAACCTATTGCATTATTTTTTAATCTTCAGGATCATAATAAATATAAAATTAAACAATAGAATCTTATTAATTATAAAATTAAATTTATATTTATTTGATTAATTAATTTTTAAATTTAATAAATAAATATATTCTACTAATATATACGTTTTATGCCCTTCTCGTGAGAGAGCTTCTCCACGTGTTAGAGAACAGTCGGAGCAAGGGAGTGAAAATATAAATTGATTTATTTTAAAATCATATTTTAATGTTAATTATTCAGTCACAAGTTTAAAGGTTGCGTTGACTTTTAAAATTATAAATATAGTTTTGAATCTGAAGGTTTAAAATTTTATATTTATATTTAATAAATTACTTAATTTATATAATTTAAAATTTTATAGACATTATATTTAAAAAAATTTAAAGTTGAAAAGCAAAAAGATGCCAATTCGTTTCATTAAATTTAATTATTAATTTATTGAAAGTTAATCTCTCAAGTTTACTGTATCTACTTATGAATTGCTTGAACAAATCTATATCTGTACATGAAATAAATTTAGGAATTAGAGTAAAGAAAAGAAAATTAGAGACATTGAGACATTGAGTTGAAAGTAGAAAAATGACAACAGAAATGGTTCTTTTATGATCAGTTGATAAAGAAAAAATAAAAAAAATAAAAATTTGGATGGTATAATTGAAATAAAATGTATAGTTGATGAGTATTTTTTTTTTATAATTTATCATTAATTTATCTTGTGCAAACATAACCAACCAACCAACCACTGAAAAAGCAAAAGCAGAAAAGCGTGAAAAAAGATGCTCCTCTGAATAAAGCCTTTCAGAATTCCGGATTAAATTAGTTATGAGAAACAATGTGCAGAATTAGTTGGAATTAAATACAAGATCGATTTTGAATGTATGAGAACGAAATTGTGTAGATCA